TAATTGAGCTAAAGACACATGAATATGGATACAACTCAAACAAAGAATATTCTTCTCAAGGGAATGACACTTGGTCGGAAATAGAAAGACATTATGCTTGAAAAGAAATATATCTATTGATGTCTTTTTATATCATTTTAAACTGTTAATCAATCTCTTTCGTTTTAGAAAGAAAAAGATAGTACCAATGGTTCTGCAGCCCACAGAAATCGTAGTATGTATTTATTAGCATATATCATGGATATAATGTTTTTAAATCCATTTTTATTTGTTTTAATCTTTTTTTTCAGTTCCTCTTGTAGGGCATTGTCCTAGACGTCGTAGTCCTTTTCGAGGTCTTTTAGCAAGTCAGCTTGTTTGCAAAACATGTGCTACAAAGGTAAAAAATTGAATATCAATTACTACATCACTTTCACATCGTATTGCTGGTGATGATGATGAAAGTGATGATGATGATGTTGATGATGATAGTGATGATGATGATGATGATAATGATGATGAAAATGAAAGTGATGGTGATGATAATGATGTTGATGATGATGATGATGATGATGTTATTGATCATGATGTTGATGATAATGATGATGTTATTGATGATGATGTTGATGATGATGATGATGATAATGTTATTGATGATGATGATGATGTTGATGATGATGATGATGATGATGAGGAGGAGGAGGAGGAGGAGGATAATTTTGTTTTGATGATGCAGTAAGGTTGTGTTTGAAAGAAATTGCACGATATGTGCAAGTAAGGATAGATAGATAGATAGAAACTTTATTAAAGTGTCAATATACTTTAGCATAATACATTAATTGGTGACACAACATAATTGAATAAACATAAAAGCTAATTAACAAATTAACAAATGTTTTAAAAATCTATATACATATATAATATATAATATATACTCTATATAATCCATAAAAAATATCAATTCTATTAAATATAATACTGATTATGATGCTATTATCAAGATAGAGAACTTGTCTYTAAGAAATGCACTTTTTGATTCTCTTCTTTCTGATGTCATTAGGTGACTGGACAATTATTCCAGCTAACAGCCCAATACATGTGGTCCTCCTCATCACTTGCTGCAAATACTCCCATCGATGGAACAGGAGAACACCTTGAAGATACTGAAAGAGTACCACTCAAGGATGTTCACTTTGATCGCGAAAGGCTATTAGGATGCACTGTGGAAAATGGCAATACACTTGTTCATGACAGCCCGCGTAGAGGTTATGGTCTTGCTGGTATTGGTATTAAGTCTGGTCTCTATGAGTGGAAGGTAAGATACCATATATAATACACTTGTACATGACAGCCYGCGTAGAGGGTATGGTCTTGCTGGTATTGGTATTAAGTCTGGTCTCTATGAGTGGAAGGTATGATACCATATATAATACACTAGTACATGACAGCCCGCGTAGAGGGTATGGTCTTGCTGGTATTGGTATTAAGTCTGGTCTCTATGAAGGGAAGGTATTATAACATATATAATACACTTGTACATGACAACCCGCGTAGAGGGTATGGTTTTGCTGGTATTGGTATTAAGTCTGGTCTCTATGAGTGGAAGGTATTATAACATATACACTACTCCAGAGGGTATGGACTTGCTGTTATTGGTATTAAGTCTGGTCTCTGAGTGGAAGGTATGATACCATATATAATACACTTGTTCATGACAGCCCGCGTAGAGGGTATGGTCTTGCTGGTATTGGTATTAAGTCTGGTCTGTATGAGTGGAAGGTATGATACCATATATAATACACTTGTACATGACAGCCCGCGTAGAGGGTATGGTCTTGCTGGTATTGGTATTAAGTCTGGTCTCTGAGTGGAAGGTATGATACCATATATAATACACTTGTTCATGACAGCCCGTGTAGAGGGTATGGTCTTGCTGGTATTGGATTTAAGTCTGGTCTCTATGAGTGGAAGGTATGATACCATATATAATACACTTGTACATGACAGCCCACGTAGAGGGTATGGTCTTGCTGGTATTGGTATTAAGTCTGGTCTCTCTACCATATACATTACTCCAGAGGGTATGGACTTGCTGGTACTAGCAATGGAAACACTCAAGATAAGACGGCAAAAAGAATAGCCGTTCTTCTTGTCCGCAGGATTTTAAGCAGCTTTTGCTTGCTTTTTACATTTTCAGTTTCACATCACCAGAGAGAACCGCGGAAACGAGGGCACCTGTGTGGGCGTTGCTCGTTACCCTATCGCCGATGATAGCCATCGGTCATCACGTGACATGTGGCTATACCGTGCTTACAGTGGTAACCTGTATCACAATGGAGAGCAGACGCTAACCTTACCTGGTTATACTCAAGGGGATTATATCACATGTGTGCTAGATATGGAGGCAGGGACGCTATCACTGGGTAAGAATGGAGAGGTAAGTGTTACTAACTCTTGTTACAGTCATTCTCAATCATACGCGCCACTCTAGCGATTCTAAGGCGTTTCCACGACATTCTATAGGCACGTGCCCTTATAGCTTTGTGTTTCCCGACAATGTTATGGAAACGCCTTGTGATTGACGTCCACCAAAACCTTCTTCGTCGCGACAGAAACAATCGCTAGAGGGCGCGTGTGATTGAGAATGGCTGTAAGGTCCTGTTACACGATGTGTTTTCCATGGCGCGCGTAGGATCTTGCCGCCCAAAGTGCCTCATTTTCGAATCTGAGCATGCGATGCTTTTGGCAGCGGTCGCGCATCTTGAACAAGATTTATTAGCATGTTGGATTTTTATAATTGAAAATATTATTTATAATCTTGTAAAATGGCACTTATTGAATAAAAAAGCTTAAAAGTACCACCATCACCATCACCGTTATCACCATCTTCATTATCATCATCATCATTATCATCATTGTCATCATCATCATTATCATCCACGTTATCACAAATCATCTTCAAGATCATTCTCATCCTAGTAAGCATCTTTAGTAATTAAATCTGTGCTATAGTTTCTACCCACTCATGATTTGTTTAACATTTTTCTCTTGTTTTTCTTCCAGGAGYTGCGGGTAGCATTTGATGGAATTGAAGCAAAAGAAGTGTACCCCTGTGCCATGTTTTATAGTAACACGCCTGGCGAAAAGGTACATCATATTTATTCGTTTCAAAAAACATGTGACAGTTAAATTGCGTACTCAGTGAACATTCGATGAGAACGCTGGGACCCGTTACGGTCACGGTCAATGTCACGGTCACGACACTGTTTGTTTTCGTGGTCATGAAATCTTGTAAATATGACATAACATCTTATTAATCCCAGGTTACGATCACAGACATGTGCATGAAAAGCGCCCCAAGGGACCTATATCCTGGCAGTCCTCTGTGCGCCCCATTACCAGCTGTACTCTCTGAGGCCCTAGTGTCCCTGATCAGGACCTTACACTGCAATGGTGACTGGGAACAGTACGTTAATAAGTGTATCTTAGAAGGTGTTCGTGCGATAAGAGATGTTGGTGCGCCTAAAGACATAGAGACAGAGGTAAGTACGTCCTTATAGAGTGAATAATGAGAAATAAGCCTTGTGAATAACAAAGAAAACCGTGTCAATTGAGAAAAAACTTACAATACTGACTTACGCCACGTAGACGGTACGAAATGCCGTAACATTGAAATAGCTTTGCACTGCAATTCATAGTTTCAACTCAGAAAATAGCACACCAATCACCGCTGCAGCAGTTTTCCCAGTGGATTTAAAATCTTGTCCCACAAACAACTACACAGTACCTTAAATTTAAAGAGTACTACAAGGACTACGAAGCAATTTTTTATTCTTTTCGCAGGACAGTAAGTTATTGAAACAATTTATAATCAAATTTCCGCAATCAGAGTTTAAAATTCTGAGATATTCTAGATAAAAGACCTCTTTGGCTCTGACGTGATGTATTACCATTTCAGACCACATGTCATTCTCTAGAGTATCATTTCTTTGTTTAAGGTTTGCGCTCGGTTGCACATGAGAAGACACATGAATATGGATACAGTTCAAACAAAGAATCTTATTCTCAARGGAATGACACGTCGATCCACTTTGTCAGTCCCTCAACCTCCGAATGGCTAATAACAGGCTTATACAGGATTACCTCTCGAGACAGTTAATTTTCGCTTTGAGTAGCAAATAGTCCCCTTCACAGTTCCTTGCGCCATCTCGAAAGGTAGCCGTGCCTTTGCATCGAAGCGAGACGAACGATGACCTTGCAATAATAGAGACGTGAGTAATTGTCCAAGGTGTTAAAAAAGGTTTCTATCATTGCAAGGTGGTGCAGGGAACTGTGAAGGGGACTATTGGGAAACACCTTTTTGTTTTGACGATCCAAGACAAATGGTTAGCACTCTACACTTTATTTACTGTATTTCTTGATCTTATAAATTGTACTTCCACAGATAACAGACTCACGAAGCAGTCTCCTAGACAACGAGACTCATATCTGTCACACAGTATGGCCTGCGTTAGCTGTAATAGGTGGTGTAGACTGCGGTTTACGTGTGGGAGGACGTTGTATTGATAGGAACAACGGTAAAGAGGGTACTATATTGGGCGTGGCAAACGAAGGACGGAAGATCGTCAAGGTGCAGTGGGATGAAGGTGATAATTATGTTAGGTAAGTCGTAGTTTTGTCTACACGCGGATTTGTAAAATGGGAAAGAAAGGAAGAAATATGGGGGGAAATGAGAGAAAATGGGAGAGAATGGAAAAATGAGAAAGAAAGGAAGAAAGAAAATTAATGTCCAATCTAGTAATCATCAGTAGGTAATTATAGACTTTGCCCTATGGCGCCATGTTGGAAGACAATTCACCTTTTCGGCGCTAGCCGTCACGTGGTATAAATTGTGTTGGATTGTGTTGCGTCACCAAGAAGTTCGGACATTGTTCTCAGATTTCTGTACAAATGTACTGACTTTAAATGAACTATTTACTTGGTTTGTTTAGTTAGTTCTCTAAATACAAGTAAAATATCATTTTTCTAACTTGATTGAAGCTTTTCTTACTGCTGTTAAGATTCACTCAGTGACCGTAACACAATCCAACAAAGTGTTTACGACGTGACGGCTATCGCCGAAAAGGTGAATTGCCAGATATTCTTAAGGTTATTCAGCGTAACATTTCTTATCTGACTTGATTATCTGTGTTACAGCGACACCTTGATCAGTAACCTGGACCACATTGAACCCATCGAGTTCGACGCGTCTCGTCTGGGCAGTCTTTCCCCTGATACATTCACCGATCTATTACTCCTAACTGGTCTAATGGACGACAAGCGACCGGCTTCTGTATCACCCAGCAACTCACGCGAGGAAATAGCACCGACAGACCGTCTGTCGTCTAGTGAGACGATATCTGATAGCCGTGAGTCTTTGTACTATGATTCGCGCGAGAAGAACGAGACAAAGGACGCCAAGGAAGCCATGCAAAGACGGAGTGCATCCGATGTGGATTTATTTTCTAGTCCAGATGGCAGGCGCACTAAGAGTATGCCCGAGTTAACGCTCACTAGTCCTTCAAAGTCAATCAAAGGATCCAAAACCTCACTTGCGTCTTTTTACTCGGGAACTTCATCGTGTGCGGCGGGATCACAACGTGACTTGATTGACGCGATTATAAGTCTAAGCGCGCTCAAGGCGCTGGTGGTGATTATCAAATCGAACAGATTTCTCGATACCTTGCTGTCGTATCAAGCCGTTGAATCGTTAAACAAACTTGACTCAAAATATCCTAGTCATGATAAATGTGATTTGAAATCCTTCGATAGTAGGCCATCATCATCGTCTTCTGTCAAAGATCTTAACTCTGATATAGAACGTCCTGATGAATCTATGATAGCAGTGTTACAATCTGTGATGGCGTGCATGGTGCAGTGTTCAGTTTTACCGTCTCCTATTAAGCAAGTCGTCCGCGTGGGGGAGTTGGAGAGAGCACAGACTGTCCTCTTGAACCAGGCCATGACAAAACAGAGCAAGACTGATCTAAAAGAAGATAAAGAGTGTAAGTATATTCACTGCTTACATGAATATAGCAAGCGCCAAGCCTATTCGTTGTAATGTTTATGCGCTTTCCAATATTATTTTCTGCTATCTGTGAGTTAGCCGTGCCCTTACTTTGATCAGCCCAGAGGTTGTTTCAGGGTTTGATCTGTGAGCAAGTCGTGCCCCGACTTAGATCAGCCCAGAGGTTGCTTTTAAGATAGCGATAAAATTTGAATACTGAAGTTTGTTATTACTGTCTATTATTTTTAGACGATTCTCAGGAAGACCAAAAAGAGGTGGCCGAGCCAACCTCGGGTCGAACCAGCTACGACACAGATGGATCGATACCCATGGCTGACCCTTTACCTGACAGTAGATCAAGCTCAGCCACATCAATCATCCCATCGAACACATTAGAACCAAAATCTATCCATGACACAGCCAGTCAGCTTGCTGCGTCTGTTATATCAAGCGAATCGATCAATCAGACATCTCCAACGTCTGATGCAGGTCCTGCCTCTGACAACATAATCGATAACTCCTCGTGCGCTTCCGTGGAGCGTAACACAATCAGTACACCTTCGCCAACAGCCAATGCAGAAACAGCGTCCGATTTGTCAACGACTCCACCCACCGCTCTGCCGCAGGTACTTCGCGATGTGGCGGCTTTGTCTTCATTGCCGTTGTTTTCGCTGCCGTTGCTCGAGATGGGGTTCTCACAGCGTCATGTTCGACATGCTATGCAAGCGACTGGTATACACCAGGGAGCAGATACGCGCAGGATTAACGAGTTGGTCACGTGGCTGTTGGAACACCCTGTTTCTGATGATGAGGTAAGTTTGTTAGGGTCTATTCATTTTGGAGGGGGGAGGGGGTAGGGGCTGGTGGGAATCAGGGAGGAGCATTAAAAAATATTTAAATATAAAAATATAAAACTATACTAAAATTTAAAAAAATAAAAAGAAGACAAAACAAAACAAAACAAAAA